ATTATGCCTGTGAGTGTAAATATTCTATTTTGGTTTATTATTACTTTGGGTAAGCAGTGAAGTCAATTCATACATTTGAGTTAAATAATCAAAATCATAGTGAACTATTTACAAACGTATGCTCATACAGTTATTAATTACATGTTAATATGTTTGACTATTTATATAAGTTTAAATGATCTGCTGAATCTTCCTCTATGTTTTTAGCTCAGTCTGTGTAACTTCTTATTGTTGGGCGGACAACAGTATAGGGCTGCTTAAGAATGATGTCTGTCTCCATGCATCCACAGATCCAAGCTTCATGTTACGTTACTGAAGAAGTTTCAACGTGAGACTTTAACTTTTCTAAGCAGCCGCCACTTTGGCAGAGAGAGCGACAATTTTGAGATAAGACTAAATGTCAAACTTGGGTTGTTTACCACGTAACCACCACATATGACTGTGACAGTGACCTCTGCAGCATGTTGTCCCTCACTCTTTCACTCTCAGTGTTTTCTATCTCACTCCACACACTGTCCAACAAAGGCAGAAATCATCTGCCGAACATTTATGATTAGAAAAGAGTCATAAGATCAGTGACTCTGTATTGTAAACTATCTAAATTGTATCTAACATTAGCCAACATAATCCAGTGTGGTAAAATGAGATGAGCAAGGTGTGTTGTCTGTTAGTTAGCGAGACTATGAAAAACTGCTGGAAGGATTACCATGACACTCTGTTGTAGGATGTAATACTATATATTTGTTTTTACACATTGCTTAACATTGTTTTTTTTGGATCTAGTGAATTTAAATGATGTTTCATAAGGGGGCTGTTGGGCCTTGGCAGGGATGTACACTCTACTGAGTCCCCAACTGTGTATTTTTTATTCCTTTCAAAACTTACACACTCTAGTTTTAATCCACAAAAGTGCATTATGTAACTCTTAATCTGTAAAGTAACTGCACATCTAAGTTATCAAACCAGTAAAATGTTAAATATTACCCTCTGATCAAGTACTTAAGGTACTTTTTACAGAAGTACAGTACTTGAGTAAAAGTACTTGTTTACATTCCAGCACTGCTGGAGCAGAGCTGTAGCACAGAGGATTAACAGCTTCTCACGCTGCCACTGACAGTTATGTGAAACAACACAGCCTTGCAAACTCCCATAATCACAGGTCAACTTGAAGCAGCTCTGTTTTAAATAATAAGGTCGGGTGGTGTACACAAACAGTTTATTCTTCAGCGTTTTCGTTCACATTTCTCCTGCATAGATGAGCGCTGTTAATCAAACGTCCACAGTGACTGTCAACGTTTCTGCCAGGCCGACCGCCAAAGTGCGGTTACCGTAAAAGTGGACAGCTGGAGCACATCGGTCACAATGATGCAACGTAACGCACCAGTGAGTCGTGCCACTGCTACGTAGCACCATTCCTGACAGCGAATCAATTCAGTAAGCAAATGGAAAACCCTAACAGCCCCTGACATTTCTCGACTGCCAGTAATTGGAGGCAATTTATATTAGTCAAACAGAATTTTCTGAAAGAGCAGGAGATGCTGGAACAACTAAGTTTATTCCCACACTTTGCATCACGCCTTGAGGTTATTTCAAAGGATGACGTTCATGTTTTTAAGTTTCCATTAAAACAGGAAGCAGACACCCTCATACCTTTCTTTGTGGGGCTTTTTATTTTATTGATACTCACATGAAGACCTGTATGCTCAGGCTGCACTCAGCAGCAATGCATAAGCTGATAAAAAGGTGTTTACCTCCAGATGAAATGTAATTAAACATACAGCAATCAAAATGCAAATGAGAACTGTATATGTGCTTCATCACTACACCTCTGTGATGTACGGAGATAAGATAAAGTATTAGATACGATACATCTCCCTGAGTCTGTGAGCAGATTTATATCACAACAAATAGGATTTCAAGCTTAAACTCTCAATCATACCAGAGATGGAACTGCTCAAAAAGAACAGGGGACAGAAGGGGAAATATCTGTCGTCTCAGTAGACCGACTTCCAGAATTACTTTGTCACTTGTGATCACAGCTGTGAAATCCAGCCGAGGGGGAAATCTCTACTTTGATATGGCAGCAGGAGCCAACTGTTTTTCATTCAGTAATATCCAGTTTGCAACTGTCTCAGTTAAAGGAATCACTCAATATTTTGGAAAAGAGAGAAACTGGTCAGGTAGAGAGATTTAGAGTAGATTATGTTGACTATTTTATATCCTGTTAGCTTATTCTTCTTCAAGCTGTAAACATGACACTGACATTATTATCTTATAAAGTGGATTAGGCAAATTTATTACACCTCACACATCTGAGTCACATTCGAACTGTCTTTCAGCTCTGATTTTGGTCTCCTCCATTTCTCATGAATAGCTCTTCTAGCTCAGCCAGTCATTTTTTGCTTAGCAGGTAGAATGAAGCAGTTTTCTTGAACCTTTTTAATGTGATAAGCTTTGAGTGGTGAGAGTGTATTCATTTCCAATAAGTCATGTATTAAATATTAATATTGATTCCAGCTGCTTCAATTGTTTTAAGAGATTCAGGTGCAAAAATTACTTCTGTGCAGAAAAGGGTTATGTCTCGTACTTACAATAGAAGATCAGAAATGATTTGCAACAGGACTGATACACAGCAACACTCCAACAGCTAGAGATGGGGAAACTGTCAAGTTTGGAGCCAAAGTGAAAGTACACCATCTTAAAGCAAGCTTAAAATAGCCAAAGCTGTGGGGAAACTCAGTGCAGAGGGACGACGGATTGGAAAAAACACTTGTGTCTGCCGGTAACCGAGCAGTGGAAAACCAACTGGCCACTTGGGGGGGGGGGGGGCGGCCACTGCTCTGTGTGTCTGTCCCTGAGTGTCCTTCCATATGTAGCAAATTATCTCTCATTTCCCAAGCTGCTTGGTGTAATTGGAAATCTCAATCCCATTTCTCTCTGTGGCCTCGCACCCCAAGTCGGCCAGCTGAACCATCTCTGTCCTCTAAGGATCTGTTGGAACACATCAGGGCTAAAGTTGGAGGCTCATTACCTCCCAAATGTAACGCTTGACCTTAGGTCCCAAGTTAATGCCTTCCCCTATGCTCTCTCATCTCCCTCAGGATCCTCAACAGTGTATTTTTCTTCTACTTGGAGCTACAGTATGTTCTGCTTTGATTGGAACAGTTAGCAGAGATATAAATAACCAAATCTAAATGGGCAGTGGGTGCGTAGGCTATCTGCAGCATTGTCTGTAGTTGGTGAGTCATAGCACATGAATGTCCAGTTAAAGGGACATCTAGTCTTGGCAAACTCATATTTAATATTGAATATGTAAATGTGGTTCTTTTCAGATTTGTCAACTCACAGCTCCTCTATTGTTGCAGTATTTCTCTTCCATGTCACATCTGCTTTAACAGGAGCAGCTAAAATGTGATAGTTTGAGCGTCACACAGATGAGGCTGCCTTTGGGGAAGTGTGTACGTCACCATCATTTCCAATATGACTCTTGACTCTATTTCTAAATCTGGTTAAATTCATACTGTGTTAGCTCCTTCAGGTTCAGGGTCCTGTTCTTGTTCACGCTGCCTCCCTCACTGTCACACTGTCATTACTGGGACACTAGTCTCCTGCTTTTCCTGTTATGACAAGTAAAAATAGCTGCTGTAAAAATGCAGGTTTTCATTTGGGTGTTTGTGTTTAGGTCACAGAGTCATATTGCATTTAAAGCTGCATTGACTGATTTTGTGGTACTAGACAGAAGAACTGCAAACAGACAGACATACCCAGTTCTGTCATGTTGAATCTTTGACTTGAATTATTCTTCTCTTAGCTCTGGTTTGGTCTCCACCGACTCCTGTGAAACAAAGCAGGAGCTTAGTCTCGAAAACTCATTTGGCTTTTTTCACTAGCTCATCGTTAACTTTCTCTGTTTGTCCATTTGGAAAATTAACGCACAGATGTTTTATTCGAAAACAGTGGCTTGCACTGGTGACCAAACAAGGGCTGATGAAAACAAAAAGATTACAGAATATAAAAAGCTAATTTGGGGGATGTAATCCTCAATGAGTTTTCAACAAAGGCTGGGAAACCAAAGATTTAAAGGCCACATTTACAATACTGATTTGATGAAGATGGTTTATCCCTAAATTGAATTGAGAGCTTTAAACATGCCACCAATTCATTTTAAATATAGGGAAAAACTGTTTCATAAAATCGGTGACAATGGGACTCAGCCCCTTTCTTCTCCTCAGAATCAATTAGGAGCAGTTATTTAAAATCAAACCTTTGTTGCAGCAGGCTGACGAATGAGTAGGTTGCATGTATTTAATTTGTAAGGCTTTGTCTTCTGTGAATTGGAGGTGATTAGTTCGTTGGATAATGCGGTTGAGTGTCATTCAGTGAACCTTCAATTGTTGAGCTATTCATAGCAACACTTAGGTCTGAATATAGCGTTGCTTGCCTGTTGGGTCGCCTGGTTCCGGGTTTCTAATTCCTTAATCACAGAGACAGTAGCTCATTACAAAGTTACACACACACGATGATTTCAGGCCGTCTCTTTAGAGTAGAAGTGTTTTTAATGTGGGGGACGTAGCTTCAGAGAAGAAAATAATTTTAAGCTATAAATTGGTGATGACCAAATCTTTAGCTACAGCTATAAGTGCACACTACAGTATATATACAGTTATAAAACAAGGGAATTGATGTGAAAATGTTTTTATTCTGTTGAGGTATTACATTAAATTCAATTATATTTGAGAATTTGCATGCATGTTTCTTCTAATTTATGGTTTTACAACAGTCCCTCTTTAGTATTTTATCATATCACATCAAGAATCAACCAATATCATTAGATTCTAATGACCAGATGCAATGACATGAATGAATATCAGGTAATATAAATTGTGTATCATGTATAAGTTGAGAAGAAGAACTTTTGGAGAATAATTTGAAATACTGAGGGATCTGTCACCATATTTTGAGAAATAAATGTGAAATGTACAGGAAGGAAATCACCATTTTCTTTTAAAAGCAATAAATTGCAATATTGTGAATTCAATTTCAACATGTCATTAAAAACGTATCTCACAAAATTACACCTTTATTCTTATATTCTAAAACAATAATGACATAATATAACTTTGTTTTAAAAACCGCCCTAATATAATATAATAGGAACCATATACTGATCTACAGCAATACAAAATGACAAACCTAAAACGAAAGTCAACATCGTGTCCCAGGCTCAGGCCTGAGTACTTAGAATTCATATGACATCATGACTAATTCAGACTATTATGGGATATGCCTTTTTTAGGTCAGTGTACATCTAACCTACAAAGTGAAATATACTGTACATTCATTTTTAGACATTCACAGTCACTTGATGGATTCAGTGCCCTAAAAGCAACATTATTACATTAGCCCTGTTGTCCAGGACAGTGAGCAGGACGGACAAAACAGTATCGCCTTAATTAGATTGAAATCTTCAGGGGAACTCTCTCCTGGTTAGTTTTGCTCGGCCTTTTCGGGTTCTGGTAGGACAGTCTCACAAAAACAACAACAAGGATGGTTCCTGGAATTAAAAAAATAAACACAATTTAGTTAAAAGATTCTGGGATATTCCACAACATTGCTGTTATTAGTGAACATTCGCAGTGTCATGAAGTCTTGGTCAAATCTATAACATCTGGTATCAACCTCCAACCAGGGGCTGTTTTCAGACATGAGCTGAAGTCAGTTGCTCTGAACATATTATGAAATTTTCCTGCTAGCCTTACAAAATCGATAAAGTCGATGACGTTACTAACAGAATAGTGAAAAAGAAGAAGAAAAACATTTCAGGGTGAAAAGAGGAGCTAAAGAGGAAGACGTGATATTGGAAAGACGACAAGAATCGAGAGCTTTTGGTGATAAAGCCTGAAGCACGTGTCTATGTGCTGTAAACAAAATCATAATTTCTCCTGTGGAATTTATACGCCCTGATATTTTCTGGACTTTCACGCCTAAAAACAGCCTAAGATGACCAGGTACTAGTGGAATACAGACTGCACAGGTGTTTGTGATAAGTTTTTCTCTCATTAAAACTGTCCTCGTCAGCCTCTTACCTATGACCGCAAAGGTGCCGAGCAGTATTCCCACTGCTGACTGAATAGTTGGCATCCCCTGCAACTGCTTGGCAGCCATTTTGCAGTTTCCTCTGACGTTGCAGGGACACACTGTCACTGACACAAAAAGAACAAGAGGGGAAAAAAATGAAAACTGTGCTCAGGATTGTTTTTTGGTGGTAATTTAAACTATAAACACTTCAGCTGTACTTTTAAATAATGGAAAATGCATTTGGGAAGCATATCTTCATTCCTGCTCATACATTTGACACTAACGCATGAAATTAAATCTCGATTTGAAGGTAACAGCTAGTTCTCACATAAGCTTCACTAGTGACTTTTCTCACTGATGTGCTTTAGAGCTTCACCCTGATTTAACTGTAAAACTACAGGCAGCTAAAACTAAAGAACAACTCTCTTTACACTTATTAAGCTCATATTGAACAATATAGTTTATCTATATGCACGAGAACTTATGTGCTGTTTTGTGGTTCGTATATAAATTGTCAGCAGGTTAAATTAGGTAAAACACAGTCTTCGGATTGCTGTGTAATCACAAACCTGCAGCTGGAAAAATCATTCGTAAAGCCACATTAGAACAGAGTCATAGGACAAGCTGGCCCACAGGGCTTGATCTCTATTGATTGTTCTTTTGTGCTTTTGTCCCATAACCCGTGCTCGCATTAGCTCATCAGCAGGAGCGTCAGCATTACCTGGCAGGTTTATGAAGGTGCTCCTGGGAGGGGAGCTGCTGTCAGAAATGGTGAAGGGCACGGTGTAGACCTCAGGGGACAGGTATGGGATGTTTAAGGACAGGTTGGTGTGAGTATCTGAAGGAAAAGATTTAAAAAAATTAATTTACAGTTTATTATTTTTCTATGAATATAGTATAACAATAAAAGACAAAAGCCTTTTCACATCTTACCTCATTCTGTTTTGGTGTAAATTGTGATCAAACTTGTTTGTAATTTGTCCACTAGATCTCACACAATCCCACACAATCTCGGGAACCATTCATCATTTCTGTTCCAGACTTTGCATGTGAATTAAGAGCAGTATTAAATTTGGTGTCATTTGGAAAAGTAATATGTTCAATATTAATAAGTTTGAATAAACAGGCAACTAATCGATGTTAATTGATAATATAGAGCAAAATATAGCATTCACAACAACAACAGCCCGTTCATGAGAACAGCGGCAGCAACCAATTCTCCAGTTTGCGTTCTGCGTTCTGAGTTCACCGAACTTTGAATAAATAGCTTCTTACATAGTTTCAGAGAGAAAGCTGCAAACCTTCCAATCAGGAAGGTTTAGAACTGCACTAGTTAGGATGAGTGAAAAGCAGGACACAGAACAGGCAATATGACATTTCAGATGTAATAGGATTTAATTTCCTGATACTTGTATTTGGTGGCCAAAGAAACATGCACAAATAGCATTACTTCCTGTGCAGCACGAATGGTGGTCACAATCCAGCCTCACAGATCAGAAAAGGTTTTAAACTAAGCTATAAAAGCTTTGTTACAAGCATATGTCAAGATTTTACTGTGAAATAATTATCACGTATGACTTTACACTTCCTTTTACAATTCCTGTTAGCAAGAGAAAACAAATCTATCACTTTACTGCACAACAGCTCAACACAGCATGAGACACTGATTTCAGCTGTGTATGGAGAGGTCTGCAGAGAGTGAGTCTTTATCTTATCTAAGAAAATCAGTCTAAAATACACGGCGGGCCGCATGACGTAAAAGCCCTGTCCAGTAAGAGAAGTGTTTATCATACTGTTTGAACTCTTATCTGAAGGTCTTAAACTCCACGCTCGCACCTTTACAGTCATTCCCCCTAATGTTCCATTTGTCAGCCAGGGAGGCACAAGCTGTGCAGTGCTTCTCAAGAGACTCTAATGTATTCATCCCCTATCTTCGCTTGGTTTCGCGTCTGATGTGACATTTTCACAGAGCTGATCTGTGGCCGGCTAAAGTATTTATACATCCCAATGTTATTAAATGTGTTAATGTCAGACTGGATGTACCAGGTTTTCTCCCCTCACAGTTATGAACAGCTATGAACTATCACAAATGGACAGTACATCCGTGAGATGAAACACACACACACACACACACACACACACACACACACACACACACACACACCCACACACCCACACACACACCCACACACACCCACACACACCCACACATCCCTTTCATAAATGGTTGTGGTTGTGCCACGCGAACAAGCAACCCTACAGCTGACATTACACTGTCACAAGAACACATCATTGGTATACCACCATTATTGGCTACAATCAGGTGCAAAGCATTCTGGGAGATTCTTCTTTTAGCCTCCATTAGCTGGCAGGAGCCCAGCGGTGATGCCATAGAAATTACACAGATGATATAATTACAGCTGGGCTCAATCAATAGCAACAGGAACAGAGGAGTGAAAGACAGAGGTTTAAAAAAATAAAAACGGGGAGGGAAGTGGATGAGCCGTTTGAATGACTTAATGTGACAAGACGTCATCGGCAGAAAATAGTTGACATTAAATAAGCCCAACACGAGCGGTTTCTGAAAAAGGGATAAATACTTTATATTTCCCATCACGAGGCGGAATAAATTATACGGGAAGAAAATAGAACACGTTGATTCGCACATGTTCAGGGACAGATCGCTCTGACTCTCTACCCATGGACGGCAAATTATGTCAGTCTAAGTAAAACAGCAGCATTTGAAAATCCATTTATCAGTGATGTCACATTGCTCGGCCTTGTGGCTGCCTGATAATCTGTCTTCTCCCAAAAAATCACTTCCTTACTCTCCATATTGGTCAGAAGCAGATTCTTATCAATTTAGACTGGAGGCTGTTTATTTATAGGGTCATTTATCTATATGTCCATGTTAAAGTCATTTAAAAGATCTAACATGATGGAACGTTGTCCACTCAACTCTTTTTGTTCTGTTATTTCAGGACCAAAAGTCAGACAGCTCACTGTGCATGCTCACCAGATTTGGTTGGGTTTTATGGTCTTATTTGGGTTCATAAATACGTATGTATTTTGCAGTATTTTGGACAGGATTTAAATATAATGGATGCTTTGATACCCTTTACACAGTATATTTTGGTCCCTGTCTTTGTATGTGTGACAGATGGAACATGAGGACGTTGGAAAGGTGCATTATTCCATATCCCCACTCTCCAGCTGATTCACTTTTGGGGCTGATTGTTCAAAGGTAAAAAAAAAATGGTCAGAAATAGAAATTTTCTCTGCAAATAATCTGACATCATATAAGTGAGATCATGAGGAAGTCACAAAGAAGTTAGAGAATGACATCATGCACAGTTCAAATAAAATCCATTACACAAGGAATCTCTGCATCCTGTGGGGCTGCAGACATGACTAATTCATGATCATATCTGTTAGGATCAGGTTAGGAATGACATCATTATGACATCACAATGAAGTCAGAAAATGACGTCACAGAGTGTAATAATGCATGAACCAACCACTTATGTAGATCACGACGACATCATGATTTTGGTATAAACAGCGTGTGCAGGGTATTCATTGCCCCCCTGATGCTTTCCTTTAAGAATTTGTCTACTTTAATAATTGATAAGAAAGTTGTTTAATTATGATGAATGAAGAAAAGTAGCCCCCCCCCTCCCCAACAGTTAGTATGGTTTGGTCCAATTACATCATTATTCCGTCAGAACTGAAGAAGCTTCTCTGTTGAGAGGTGAGACGTCTCCAAGAAACAAGTCCAGATGTCCACATACACGACTGAGAATCTTCACAGATATTCTTAAAAGTGACCATTCTTGCCTCCTCTCTCTTATCATCATGAAAAACATCACTAATCCTGACCGGCTTCACCTTGTCTGCGTTCAACTCACCGTTTATCGGCGTTAGCTTCCAGTTCCGACGAACTGTGGCATCACTGCGCAGGGAGAAGTTGAGCCGTCCCCCGTGCTGAGGTCCGTCACTGTCCCTTGAGGCCAACACCAGAGCCTGGTCCTCCCAGCGAGGAGTACACAGGTACTTCCAGGAGTAGTCTCCAACCAGCACCGGGCTGTTGTCATTCACATCCAGGATCTGCACTGTCACCAGGGTGGACGCGGATAAGGAAGAGTTTCCTGAGGGGATAGAAAGAGATGTGGAGAAGTTAAAATGAAAATGCAAATTCTTACCAAGGTAACAAACACAGACATATCTCAGTTATTATGTTCCCTGCTCAAAATAATCCCTGAAAATTCAAAGTAGCTGTAGTTGATATATAACTCCACCAAGGAGCTTGTATTTTCATCAGGATTGATTTGCTGCATTACGCAAAAACGACTGGATGGATTAACACGGAACCTATAACGAAAGGATGTAGTGTGGGTCAGAAAGAACCCAATCAATTGGGAAGTTTTTCCACTTTCTTTAATTTTCCGAAATAAGATGTTTATTGAGGTTTTTACCATTTTCCTTGGCAATAATTAATAATGGTTAATAAAAGTTGTATTTCATCTGGATGATTATTCACCTTCCCATTACATTGCAACCAAATACCTCACATAAAAGCATGAGATTCGCACAAAGATGATTCAGTAGAAAGGAAAAAAAATGATTTAGTAAATAAATATATTAATAGGTTGAAACAGACCTAAATAACATTTAGTTGAATCAATAGAACATGCACAAGCACAGACCTCTTCAATCAAATACTTGTGCGGTATGAATAAAGGTGAACTTACGTCCATCCACTGCAATGACCTCCATGGTGTACGTGCTGTTCTCCTCTCTGTCCAAGGCCTGCACAGTCTTCAGTTCTCCAGAGTACTTCCCTATTGAAAAGTATTTCTTTGTGTCCCCTTGAAGAGAATATCTGCACCAAAATAACACGTGCATCTCTGTAACATTAGGGCTGCAATACTTTATGACTCACTCTCTGAACTGGCAAGTATCATTAATACAGCATTCATCCAAGGTTTACCTGATGGGGTGAGAATCGGGGTCATAACCTCGGATGGTGGCGATGACCCGTCCCGGTTCCTCGCCCTCTCTGACGGTCACCTCGTAATGGCTCTGAGACAGGATTGGACCCTCGTTTACGTCGTCAACATAAATGGCGACTGTTGCTGTGGATGCAGGTCCGTATCGTCCACGGACCAGAGCCACTGGGTTCCGAGCACTGAGCACCAGGATGTACTCGCTCTCACGCTCAAAGTCCAACACCTGTGAAGACACACGCACACCCACAGATGACAGAATATTTATTCCGAGAATGATCAGTGACATGATCTCAGTTGCAGTTAGGGTTAGGGTTAGACGGCACTGCAAATTCAAATAATGCCCCAACGTGAAGAAGTTAAAGGGTCAGTTTTCACAAAGACAAGAACATTGATATTTTTGCGACCATTTAAATACCCAAACTGTTGGAAGTTATTTTATAATAGTTTTCCATTCCCGTCATGCAACATCGTCATTTCATTATAGGTGCACAACTGTACTGTCTGTATCCATGACCTGAGTGCAGTACCTGGATCGGAATAAAAGCTTACAAATTATAAAACCAGGCCTATTTAGCAGTGATACTATATCAGCATACTTCAGCCAAGTTGAATGATTGAATAGAAGAAGAGAAGCATTGGGGAGGGCAATCGTATTGAAAGGTTACGCAAAATATATTGTGCGGGAACGCAAAAGTAGTCCTCAAAATAATTCTCATTGTGACCCTTCAGGGGCTCAGTAGATTCCCTCTTTGGAGAATTCTCAATTGGATTAAATGGAAAAATACGTTTTAAAAAAAAAAAAATTGCCTCCTTTAATAGGCTAAATGACCTTTCCCTCTAATGAGATTATCCCTTTTTTGAAAAATGCTCAACCTCTCAGAGCTTCAGCTGAAGAAGCAAATTCAAAGGTTTGTCTTTAAATTTCTGTGGAATCGAGTCCATGTAATAAGGCTGCTGACAGACAGCCCAACACCCACGCAGTAAAGAAACACAGCATGTCATCTGGGACATGGTACAGTCACTTGTGTCCGGTCTCTTTATCTTTCTTCCAAGGAAAATTATTTTCAAGACACTGAAGTCACAGGGGAAAAAAAACTCTGTCACTTATTTTCCATGATGATGCAATGACTAGATAGTGCAGTGGATATCCCTCTGTAGGACGGATGTATTGATAAGCAGATTTATATGACAGTGGAATTATATAAAATGATGTTGGCAGAAGAGGACATTTGACAGATAAATTGTTGATTGTAAAAGACTATAAATGACATTTATAAGTAAGTGAATTTAGCCATAAACCCCTTTCAAAAAAAAAAGGGAAGAGTGGTAGATCTCAAACAAGATTATCTGCAAACTAAACATAATAACTGTGAATTATTGACTTTGTTGGACAGAGTAAAAACATATGGTAAGAAAAATTTATTGTTATTAGTATCTAATTAGACAGATTGAAGAGAAAGGAGTCATGTTATGTCAGAAATTCCTATTTATTTGATTATTTTAATGTAATCCCCTGAATCTCATCTTGGAGCGTGTACGTGCCATCGGTTTTTACACTCAAACGTGTTCTCTGTGGCCACAAAACGAGAGCTGATTAAACCAGCACCTTAGATCACACTGCGCTGTTGCGAGGGAGAAGAAACACAGACCTTGGAGGGTAGCATGAGTGCTGCTGCTGACTGGAAGTGACGCATCAAGCTACTCAGCGTGTGTCAGTTCACCAGAACATGTGGACCCTGGAGGCTGTGGTCAGTCATCTATAGCACCATATACCATGTATAAGTAATAATGGCTGTTATTGACCTTACCTCGCTTTTACTGTGACATTAAAACACATCAAAATCTTCGTCTGTAACAAATACAGAACGTTTTTAGATCTAATTCAAACTTTACATCAATAAAAATGTTTTTTTTTGCCAATTTCAGTGAAAAAAAATTGTGGCAACTTAAAAAAGTCTTCTGAGCCTTTGCTGTGGGACTTCAAACTGGGTCAGGTTAGTTACACCATGTTTGCTTTAATGACCTCCACCAAGGAAGTGATGTATCTGCATTTGTTTGTTTGTTTGTTAGCAGGATTGCTAAAAAAAACAGCTCAACTGACTTGTGAGTTTACCAAGAAATAAAGCTGATAACTTAATAATAAGATCCAGATTTCCTGAAATAAAATAAATATATTTTTATTCAGTTACTGTGTAGTGAAACTGTATCGGTAAATTGATATTTTGCACTAATGTACCAGTTTACATTACATGCAGATGCAACATGGCCAATCAGTTTTTGGGGAAAGAAAGTGCCCTTCATTTTTTTTCATCAGACCATGTTTACCTTTTAACTTTCTACTATAAGAGCTAGACGATCATGTGTAGGGTGATTCAGTCTCAGTGGGTCTCTGTGTTCTATAGTGTTCTAATCTGGAGCTCACTTGGGGTCAACTCATTTTCTTACATGAGGAAATTTGCATTTTAAAATGGTGACTCATTTAGTTAGTGATGGATGAATCTGTATTTTGTATCTACTTGATTAATTGAGCTGTTACAAGCCTTGTATAGTTTAATTTAATTTTTCTTTAACAAATGGTTTTGCATTTAAATGTAAAACGTCTCACATGTAGAGTTTTCCCCCTTGATTAGATTCTCCTCACTTCCTCTTGTTTATTATATATTTACCTCAATGTGCAGCCTCGAGCCCGGGCGGTAAACTGCTATTAGTGTTCACACAATCAAATTATTCCCTCATGGGCAGTGAGCAGTGTGTAATTTCTAATAATGAAACGTGTTTGCCTTGTGGCGCTGACCTCACATTCTAGCACAACAAATTAAAGGATTTGCTCAAGAGCCTTTTAATCCTCCTGGGTTTTACTTGAAAAAGATTTAGATTTGAGCCTTATTATTATATTTATTATTACATGCTAAATAAAACAAGTTTCCATTTGAATGGTGCAAATGTAGTTATAGGAATATTTCACAAGGTTAATAAAAGAGATTTACACACAGCTTTTCAAAGAGAGTCTTCATGTGTTGAACTGAAGTAAAGCAACAACATCCATTTTTAGCTTTTTGACATCTCCTGCTTTATCTCAGACCGTGTGCGACTCACAGTTCAATCACATCCATCAACTCCCACAGAGAGTTTGAAAGTAATAACCTGGCTCCCACTTCGCACTCTTATAGAGACCAGATCATTACAGTGCGCACACACACACACACACACACACACACACAGAAACACACACCTACACAAAGACAGACTCATTCCCCCTGCATCCCTGAAATGCAGTGCTGGATTATAGGAGGCAGAAAGGGTGAGGTGCCCTCGGGGAGAGCAGAGATTATTAGGCCGAAACATTTCATTGTCATCTGGACTTTTTTTTTATTTGAGGCTAAAGTATTAATGTATTGGAATATTATTTTCCAACCTCAGATATGACTCGAGCTAAACATATCTCAAGCTATTTTGACACAGCCAGTTACTGGATGATCTCTTGGGACTGCACAGACACAGAGGACAGACACAAGCCATCACACCCAAAAATTGTCCTTGACATTAATAGTTGTGCCCCTGAGAATTCAAATCTGTTTGTACGCTTTCAATCCCTAAACTGGATAAAAGAAAACTTAAATTAACAATATCACAATATCACAATTTGGACTTAGCAAGACTTTTCTGATCTTGGTAGGTCTGGTGATGTTGTGTTTAAAGAAGCTAGAGAATGTTTCGTGTTGTTCACCTTTGAGAGCACAAGCGAGACCTCATTGGTCTGCTTGTCCGTCATTAATGTAAAGACCTCCTCCTCATTTCCAGACTCCAAGCGGTAGTCCACCTGCCAGCTGTCTCCTCCTCGCACATCTGCGTCCCCTGCCAGCACAGCTGTTACTGTGGTGCCCACGGGGGCGTCCTCCAGGATGTGAAAAGGCCCATACTGTTGGGGCAGAGACGGAAAAAATACAATTACTGAATGGAGAGTGTCAGACAACGCTATGATATAAAGTAATTTATTACAGTCCCAATATATTTTATTTCATACTGCAATAATGGATAATTACTATAAACTGTAGACTGTGCAGTCTGCTGTTTTCTATATTAGGTTGTTTTATCTGTGATCTACAATGTGTTATTTATGACAAGCGTAGGCACCTTTAAGTTTTTTGTATTAATAATACAATGACAACAAAACATCTTATAAAAAACATATATGGTAAAAATAAGGTAAAATAAAAGATATATAGAAAAAAATAATAAGCAATAATAAGTAGTTATCTGATAATATTCTTTCCTGATCTATACATTTGCAGAAAATCTGTTTTTCAGATTTCCAATACTGGAGGTAGTTTAAGAAAATGTTTTATTCAACTGAAGTAGATACTGATTAATAATATTAAATATTTATCCCAGTTTGTTTTAGTTGTAATCTTGTCCTCATCAATAAGTCTGACTACACGTGAGTATACGTTTGCCCCTGCTTGCCCTCCCGGTGTGAGGTGACCTTTCTTCACACACCTCTGTGTGTTTAGACAGCCGTTTAATCTACCACTCACAGATGTCCTCTGGTGAAGCAGCCATGTCTCTGATCTGGCTGCTCCATCCACAGGGTCTCTGAACCCAGCCCTGTCACCACTCGCCTCCCACATCACCCCCTATAGCGCTGCCTTCACATCGGCATGGAAAAAGCTGCACTACTCAGGCGTGACCCGCTCAAGAGGATTTTCCACCTCTGTGTTTGTAGTGTGTGTGTGTGTGTGTGTGTGTGTGTGTGTGTGGTGGCAATTATATGAAGTGGACAGCATCAACAATTGTTAGTTTGAAAGGCATATATTTAAAATCCTTAAGAGTCATCTGGTCGGTAATAACGACATGAAGACGACAGATACTTTTGTAAAAAGAAAAAAACTCTTTTATCACGTCTCCTGTTATTGGTCTGGACATTCCTGCCAAAGCTCTGCAGCCAATTTCCGCTGTTAGATTTAAAAGCAGTACCTCTCTCTCCTCTGTCAAAAGAAAACGTTCCTCCACAGCTCATAATGTCCGCAACAATCTTTCAGTGTCGCCGCGGTCTGACGCAGAGAACAGCTAGAGACTGCTTCCCCATTATCGCAGCATGATGGCTCTTCCACGTAACTATCAACCCTTGTGACTTTTGTCTTTTCTCTATCCTGATGCATGTGGGTGGAATTGAGGGGATTTTCTATAATTGCCTATCTTTAACCTATCTTTTAAATTTCATATACCAACAGATGCAGCAAAATGAGCCAGTGACTGCAACACCTCCTTCACTGGATCACTGAGTTACAACGTAAACAATTGAAGTAATCAGAGGCACAAAAGCACATATGTCTTTTCAATATACGCCTTTATTAGAGAGGGGGGACATAATGGGACATTGCGGGGTTAGGGCGAGACCTAACAGCCAACCTCAGGACTGCCCCCTACTCCTACATGCAGCTTCTGTGTCTCAGGCCCTGTCCACTTTAATGTTTTAATTCACTGAAACAGATATTTTTACAAACGACTTCCAAAGTACCCATTTTCAAGAACTCCGATTTCTGTGTATTTCTGTGTATTCCTGTGTACATGTCTCACAGACTCTTGACAAACGATGGCGTCACAGCCCTTCGCTCATACCTGCTGTTGCTTTGTGTAATAAAACAGAAACAACAACAAGCTCACTCAATAACTTGTATTCTCACAACGTGCTTCTCTGCTATTTGACTGACGGTTGATGTAGACATAACTCGCTTGAGTGTTTTTAGTCGTTATTGTGTTCTCGTCTGGATGGAGATACTTTGTGAAATGAGGGTCTTTGTGTCGTGTGGATTGAAATTTTTTTAAATGGAGATAATGGACAATATTTCTGCCATATTTGTATAGATTGGTAATTTTGCAGTAAGTGCTCCATTGTTGAACTCAGTCAGCGCAACCCACTCACTCCACTCTTTGCTTTTACTCCTCTTCTACAATCTGCACCGTCAGAGTTCAACAACATCTCCAACTTTCAGAGACGTTGCTCATTATGATGTAAATTCCCACCCGATACGTTTCCTGCCTCCAGTTTAACAAATTGCAATAGCAAGGTTTCAACACGTCGAGGGCAGTTGCTTTACATTTTACCGCAAAAAGTGTAGAATTCAAACATCCACATATCCAGATTTGAATCCGAATCAATCAACAGCACTGTTAAATACCTGTATACATTGGTTTTCTGCTGAAATAATTAGGTTTATGGGTTTAGTTACTTTTAAAGTGAGCCAAAATTGTTTTGTGAGGAATGGACTTATGTAGGCTTCAAGCATTGCTGTAAGCAAGAAGTGGAGAAGTGGTTTCTGGGGATCGTGTTAATTCCTACTGTGAAAATATCCCCACATGATATTTTATCTTTTATCGTGTGCAGCATCTATTGCACTTCTGTCCATTTTTTTTTTCTTGTTGAGGGTTAAGGATGTTGCACCTTGTTAAAGCCCTACGAGACAAACTGTGATTTGTGAATATGAACTATACAAATAAAATCAAATTTAATTTGATTTGACAATAGTTTTTTTCCTGAAGAGTCCTTCTGAGAACTTGCTAAGTTAAGTCATTCAAGCTAACCACTGAAATAAAGAATCAGCTGATACAGACATTTCTGTGACATAAGGCGACACAGATTCTTACGTAACTATTTATCAGGCTAATCGCATTGGATGTAGTCATTATGTAGATTTGGCCAAAAATAAATGAATGGAAATTAGTCTCCAAAGAAAGCCTCATGAGATTAGACTCTGATAACAGGATCCACTTGTGAGAACACACAACTGAATAAAACTCCTCCAATAACACAGTGCTATCGCTGTAAGCCTGAGATTAGAGGACATATTTAGTTCCCCGCCAGGAAAATTAGATCAGTGGCCTGCAGAGTAGATTCACGGTCTGCAGTCCAATAGCCACTTATTACGGCCTGTGGTGTTTAGCTTGTCTTTTCTTTCAAACATGTTGTTTATCTTGTCCTGAATGGTACGTGTGCTTGTGAGTGTGAGTGAGTGTGTTTGAACTACGTGCTTGCGTACCTCATGTTGAGAGAAGACGGGCGGGTTGTTGTTCTCGTCTTGCACTGTCACAACAACAGTGCAGGAACTGTTTAAACCTGCCAGAGACATCATCACGGTGACTGTTAGTAAGTCAGGTTCAGCGCCATCACACCAATAAAATATGCTGAGGGAACAGGAAGTAGCCCTGACGCAGTCGCTCACAAAGTAACATAGCTTTTCTATAATGAAGTCTACACAAGCATTTTATTACAGCAGCTGCTTTATGAATCTACTCATTTATAACAATTTCCTCGTAATGATTGATATTTAATGGGCAGTCTGGTCAACAAGTACTTTGCATCATCAACAATTAAATAGCAGGCCGTGCAAAGCCTTGTGAAGGAAAATATTATTTTCATGTTCGTGTACAAAAACAAAAACTTTTCACATATCATGTTGTAAATTACTTGTTTTTATGCAATTATTCAGTCGATATATATATATATATGTTTATTTCCATCTTATTTTCCATTATTATCAATCTACAACAGTTTGTTTCTGTTCAATGTATGTCTTAATTTTGCAGAAGTCACTGTTTTAAAGCACTTGAAGTGAATTTCATATATGGCAGGTTTATGATGATGATGATGATCAGTATGATCATCTTGATTCCTGAGTTTCTTGTTTATAAATAGTTGTGCATGTGCTTATGATTAGTTTGTATTTTAACTCAAAAGTACAATGACCCTGTTTCCACAAATCAATTGAAAACAATCCTGGCCTTCTTGTCTCAGCTATTCCCTCTTATGTAATGTTCTACTTCAACAAGAGGAAATACCAGCACACTAGTAAAAGATGCAAGTTACAGTTTTTAGGGCTGAGGTGAGGCTGTAAAATGAAATATGCATTTATAAATGAAGGCTGCATTTATGCATTGATCCATATTCACCTTTGGCGTCCTCAGCAGTGATGGTGAGGGTGTACTGTGGTGCTGTGCCCTCCATACTGTCTGCTTGGACGGAGATGACCCCAGAGTCTCGGTCCACTCTGAAGAGGGCACGAGGACTCTCTGGAATTTGCCCGACTAAACGGTAAAAGATCCGCACGTTGTCCGTCTTGGGATCGTCGTTGTCGGCTGCCTGCACTGTGAGGATTTCTGTCCCTGGTTTAAGATGCATGAGAAAAAGTATAAGTTCTTTCAAAAGCAAAAAAAATTGCAATTTGAAATATAAACAACTGTCACTAACACATTCATCCCTGTTTTTCCAGGTCTGTGCACGGCCAAAGAACCTAAACTGTTGTCCTCTCTGCAGGAACATACAGTAACACACCAAATTAGAATCAGGGGGAGGACGTATATTACAATAGCTGTCTCATTTAATCCTCACTCAGCGATTTCATTTAGATTAACTGATTGTCCTGGCTGATTCATTTCCCAGAATCAACAGTTCTAGAGCGTCAACAAAAAAGCTTTTATGGTGGGACCTTATATGTCAAAACACACAATGTGCTTTTTATGAGCACAGGCAGCAGCGATGGAGCTTTCCCCTCCGTGTCCTGGCAAAAATCCCACTCTGCCTTCACAAAAGGTTTCTGGCTCTCTCAGCCTTTTCATCACTGCAGCGTCGCCTCCAGACAGCGTTTCTCTGCCTTGTTGTGAAACAATATTCCCATTATGGAGTAGATGTGACCATTAACATTATTCAGACGCCTCATTATGATGTTTTACTATGTTGTTTTGAGTAATTAGACACATTATAACATGTTAGTTCTGTTTTTAATTTGCAATTTACTGTGATGTAATATGTAGATTTTTACTGTAAAATCCAGGGCAGTTCTGGACAGTATAGGTCTGAAATCAACAATTATTTTTCATATCTTGACAGGGAGGTAACGTACTCGTCTGGGTTTGTTTGTTTGTTTTTTAGCAGGTTTAGGGAAAAAGCTGCTCAGTTTATTTCCATAGATTGTTTGGGAGGGGTGGCCCATTAACGAGACATTAAATTCTGATTTGGATCGAGATCACAGGGCGAAAACAGGAATTTCATTTTACCATCTTCAACATTGGAAGATTCAATGTTTTTCAACATTTTCAAAATGGTATCAAAAATATCAGGCATATTTAGAGGACTGATATTTATGAGTGTGTCTGGATCTAGTGAATTTAACTATTTAACTTGATTACAGTGTGATTGATTATTTCCTCAATGGAATGTTTTGTCTAGGAAATCAGGAAAAATTGTAAATGTCCTAGGTGACTTTTTCAAATATCCTGATATTCAGTGTAATTTATATCTGAGTGACTGAAACTGATTTTCAATACGGTATTCGCAGATAAATCACTGCTACCCTTTTTCCAGCAGCTAAAATCACACATATATCAACGCAGTCAGTGAATTTCTACAAAAACGTTTCCAATTGTTTTGCGAGGAAAAATTGTGGGTTACCTCGAGCAGCCAGTTCCTTGACCACTGTGTGGTACTGAGCTTGTGGGAAGGTGGGTCTGTTGTCGTTGGCGTCGCCCACCATCACCCTCAGCTCCACAGGTTTGGCAATCTCTCTGCCGTCCGGACGCTCAACCACGATGCTGATCTGGAACTGACAGGACAAATGGAGGAACACAGTGTTTGCCTCATCTTTACATTGTGCAGATCCTCATGTTATTGATTGTAAAGCTATTATATTATTATGTTGAAATAAAGGAAATACTGAAAAAGTTGAGGCTATCCTGCAGTAGACTGGTGGACTGATTATTAGTGGATGGATGGATGGATGGATGGATGGATGGATGGATGGACGGATGGATGGATGGATGGATGGATGGATGGACATTCATCATTTTGCCCTCCCTTGGCAGACGGATGCACAAAGCTTACACTGTGAAAAGGCTCCACAGGCTCCATCACTCATGAAGTTTACAGCCTGACTGATGGAGCTGTATTCAGAAAAGAGGCTCTTTAACACATCCCCGAGGTAGAAAAACTAATTCTGTACTCCACCTTTTCCTCGTTTTCTTCTTTAAATCAATTTAAATTTCCTGTAAAGTGACATTTTCATATATATGAACTTATCTTATCTTTTCTATTATTAAAGTCAGCTGCAGACTATTTCAATCTACAGAGTTGGGATGTGATTGAGTACATTTACTTTGTTGCTGTGCTCTAGTACATTTTTCTTGTATCTGTACTTAACTTAAGCAGATTTATTTTCAGGTGCTTTTCACTTTTACTCCACTACATATATCAGCCAATGTCTGAACTTTCTATTTTTTTAAAAAGCATTGCGTGACATGACATCCACATCGTTTTTATATTTTTAAAAGTAATCTATAACAAAAGGGAAATTGATCCATAAATTCAATCAGAGCGGACAGGTAACATTAAACCCCGCCTCCTTCCACAAGAATAGCTAGCAACTACACCACCCCCGAGAATCAGAACCACTGCATTAGGGAATAGGAAACACTTACTTTATTATTATTTACTTTTACTCAAGTAGAGAAGTTAATGTGGTACTTTTGCTTTTTTGCTTGAGAGTATTTTGTTTATTTCTTTTTCCTTAGCCAAATGTTTGGGAACTTCCTCTACCACTAAATCAGTAAAGCTGCTCAGGCTGATGCTGCAGTTTCAACCTACATGTCTCCAGAGAAGACAGAGTGAGAGAGAGAGTGCAGTGTGCAAGACGCAAAGATAATCACGTCCTCTGGTGTAGCTCAGTATTATTGTCTGTGTTGTTCTTTGACCACTTGAGCATTTGTGCCAGGATGTACTGTTCACTGAGCCATTCATGTGGCTCTCAGGAGCACCACTTGTGTGCACAACTCAAGAGTAAAATACACAACAACTAAACTGGAATCTGTGTGTTTACCAACAAATAATGACGTTTCTGTTCGTCTGAAGCAAGAAACTTTTCAACTGGCATAGTTTTATTGTCATTTATACAATTATTCTATTCTGCCAAAGGCAAGATATGTTCAAGGAACAGAGCTGCTCTTCAGTTGTCTTTCCTTAATCAACTCTGTTCAGTATAAAAATAACTTGTTCTCTGAGCCCAGAGGCCCTTTAATAAAATCATTAAGATTCATAAGCTGTTAGTAAAATTTGAAAAGAGTAAAATAGGACTTTTCTTTTCATGAACAACATGAGAAACACTTTAGTGCAATTACATGTGCCACCTCATGATGTTTTTCTTTGGCATATTAATTCACGATCTTGCTCTGGGTCAGTAGCTGAAAATCATTCAAAAAGTGAATTAAATCATATATATCTATATATATATATATATATGTTTGTGTTACATATTCAAAGATATAAATAAGGGCTTGTGCCGGTCCTGACAGAACAGTGTAGCACTACAGCTCTAATGTTCAAATATTGTAAACAGTACATGAGGACATTCATTACAGAGCACTGGAGGTGTTTTGCTTGTAGCTGCACAGACCTGGTCTTGAGTCTCTCTGTCCAGAGGAGCATTGAGATAAATGACTCCTTCTCTGCTGATGGTGAAGAGCATCTCTGGAAACTCCCCGTCCAGACTGTACACTGCCTGACTTCCACTCCATTTGACCTACACACACACACACACACACACACACACACACAAACAAACACAAAGTTATGAAAACAAATAAAACATAAAATAAGTCTGGTAAACCTGACTTTTCTCTCATGCTTACTATCTCCAAAAGAAAAAGCTGACACTATATTATAAACCAGCGCAGCTTTGCAGCGGGACCTGCATGATGTGTAAGTACAAAGCTAAGTTACCATTTGTTTACATGATAAGGAGCCATCCAAATGCACTGACAATGATGTGGAACAGAGAGCGCAGCCAAAACTAACTATGCAGGCTGAAGGGGATTTTCCACTCTGCTTTACAGCCCTTGACAGAGCGCTGTGCAGTGGAGCTGAAAGGACCCATAGCCGCTATCAAACAGCACCCAACAAGGAGAGGAGCCCGGTCACGGCACAGTTGATGCACACCCAGGGCATGTGTATCTGCTCAACTCACTGTCACACACTCCTCCCTTGTTTTGGAGATAGCTGCCCAAATGCTTGGCTTCTGTATACATGAAGCCACTTCATACAGCTGGCTGCCTCCGAGTGTTATGCTGTGTTTCTGGACTTCAGAAGATGTGTGTTGAAAGAGCTGATTGATGACCACTGTCTGCTCTATATAAAGTTCGGTGCAAAACACTGATGAGGTCATCTGTTTTGCCTCCGTCTGTGTCTGAATCTGCAGAGCACGTTCCGTCTCCCTCCATAACTTGTGTTTGAGCTGCGTCAAGAGTGTTACTGCGTGTGTGCTTTTTCTCGTAGACGCTCCAGAGAGTAAGCAGTTGCTGAATTACACAAAAGAGCATGACCTGCAGCTGAGGAAGTGTGTCTGTTAACGGATCTAATCGATAACAAATTAATCTGCAACTATTTTGATAATTCAATAATCGTCTTTGTCCATTGTCAAGCGAAAAGTCCCATATGTTTGCTGTCATCACCTCTTATTTGCTGCCTTTCTTTGTCATTAGTAATAACTAAATATGTCTCGGTATGAGAGTGGAAATATGTCCCCTCTGAGAAATTATTTATATATATAAAAATTGATATTTTTAGGGTTTAAAACTTCAAATCTGCAACATCTTTTCGTGTAAACAAGCTTGAGAGGCCATCAAACTGATTATTTTCACCTCCAGCAGATACGGAGCATCATTCACACGTACTTGGAGTCACGTTTCTGGCCACCTTTCAATTCTCTCACCTTAAAGCCTTGTTTTATCTCCACCACCTCTGGCTAGTCAGCTAAATGTTAAACGTTCCTGATCAGCTATTTGCCGACTTTGTCTGTTGTTTGAGCGTACACTGAGTTTTCAGAACTTCCTCGAGTGAGAATACATTTCACACAATCACTTCACCTATTGTTATCGTGAAAAGAGTGACCTGACGTGAACACTTTTGTGATGACTAACGTTCGCTGAAGGGTATTGATGATGCGAGTATCATTTATTGGATTGAACGCTGCTGATGAGGCCATGACGAAGGTCCAGTGGGGCTCAGATCAATCCTGCAACAAATTATCAGATTTCATTTGAATGTGAAAACTGACAATTCAATATGGTTAAGAGCTTTGACTCATTCATTCGCAGGCACCGAGAACACTCTTCCACTCCAAAGTCTCAATGAATTGCATTACTGAGTTCAAGTAGTTCCACTGATTGCATTACATAACCAAAGTTTTAGGCAGGCAATCAGAAACATGCGATAGATAACAGATTGAAACGAACCTCCCGAGCCCCAGTGACGCAAACGTATCATAACAAATGCCTCAGTTTCATATTTAGAATCAAATCCATAGCTCTTTTTGATCCGAGTGCAGAATCAGTCAAATTGATCTCGACATCAATCTCAGCTTATAACTGATTTCCGCACAGAGACAGACGATGGTAGGAATGCCGAACAGCACGTTGAGCAGCAGATTTCATTCCAGCATCTGTCAAAATGTTGTCACACCAAGGACAGTGTGGGCACAACATCTGTCACAGATGAGCGGATGTGGACTTGACCGCTCCATTTATCTGAGACAGTAGCGGAGGGAGGAGAGGGATCCACAGAGTGTGCGTCTGAACAAGACTACATCTGTATGTGTCATAACAGCAGTTAGTCCCACCACCTACGGAGCACAGCATGTACGATCACTCAGTGTGGGCGAAATGAGGCTTCCCCCCGAGTGAACATCCATGTTCACCTAATCCAGTTTTGTGTGATTTAGAGTCAGGGTGAGGACAAATGGAACTGTAAGTAAATGGTTTTATATGGTTGAGTCAGACATAGAATAATAGAGGCTTCATTTCTCACTCTCTTTACATGTTCTTTAATTATAACAGAAAGCAAATACACAATCTGCTCAGCATAATACTACCACATACGTTAATTTACATATACGCTATTTATTGATATCAAAATGATTAATGAATGAGTCATAGAAGTATATGTCTAGAAGCATTGTTAGGAATCGAACGTGCGAGACAGAAACATTTTGTAGATTTCAACTGGCCTTTGAAAATATGACAAACAAAATAATCAAATGTGCCCACGCTTGTGAATCCACACATGTGCGGTGGGTGGAAGGGGCTGTTCGAACAGGAGAGATGAGAGGCTGAGGGCGAGTGAGGGGGAGGTGGGAGAAGACAGGAGGAGGGGGAGGTAATGTGATGTATCTGCTGGCCACTGTGACTCGCAGCAGAACCTGCACGTTGCATTTAATTCAGCAGCAGAATCGACTTCACACGACTCTTTCTCTCTGTGCATTTCAAGAATTCTTTGAGAAGCACAACTGCCGTCGTCCGCTCAGTTTTTTTTCCATGTGTTAAAAAAACCTCTGAGGGCTTTTAAGTTATTTATAGACATGTGGCTGATATGGGTATGGTAATGAGCCAGAGGTTAGACAAGACAAGACACAGAGTGGTGCGGTAGCTCCTGTAAAAGATGAATTTTAATTGATTAACAGATATTATCAGGCAACACTTTTGTTTGGAGTTGGTCCTCAAAGAGTGTGGGTTTGGGAACATTTTGAAAACATCCAAAACGTCACTTGAACCCTGGATTTAGATCAATGTGTCCATTTCCTCATAACATCACCGTAGTTACGGCTGTAGCTTCCTCCATTGTTCTGTTTTTGGCTCCAACAAACTTTATTGGCACACAGGGTCGAAACAAAAACATTTTCATAAATAAGTGAAAAGCAGCAACTTATCACGAGCGAGAAGCTGGAGCCAAATCATGTTTGGCTTCTTTGCTTGAAAAATGACTTGAATTATTGAGATATTACCAAAATAGCTTCTGATTGATTCTCTGTTGAATTTATGAACTTGCCAAAACAAATTTGAAGGTTGTTTGAAACTTGAGATATCAAGTAGCCTGCAACATATTCTCACTCTATTGAGTTGTACCAGGATTCATCTGTGGGTGAAATATCATTTATCATTTATTTTTTCTCTGTCTTAATGTCCTTCTGCTGCTGTAATTTCCCAGTGTGGGATGAATAAAGTCTACCTTATCTTATCTTATCTTATTTATTCTACTGGACATTACAAACTATTTGGGGTGATTTTTGCTGTTAAGCCATTTTTTTATTAAACCGGAGTGGTGGCAGCAGTGGTCAGTGGGTGAGAGAGTGGGTGGTCATGGGAGTTGAAGTGACTCAGTAGCCTGAAAGGATCCATGGCATTTGCACAGCATCAATAATTCAGCGTTTGGTCACTTAGGAGGCCCCTAGAGGCTCTAAAAACAGCAACTGGCAACGTGATGCCACTTTGCTCAGTCCAGGCTATTGACAGAGTTTGATTAATTGTAATATGATAACAGTTGGAACTGCATTTGCAACAATGTCCCCCACTTACCCCAAGTTGTTTGCCAAAAGTGGCTTTAATGTAGATGAGTAAAAGCTCTTAAGGTTGTTGTGTCTCTGTGTTGCACACACCTGAGAGATGGGGATGGGGTAGGGGCCCGGCAGGTTCTCCTGGAGTCGCACAGGGTCAGGTGATGCCCAGGTGTTTCCTGTCACCTCCACGGTAACGATGCCGGTGGTGAAGAAAGCGTTGGCCTTCCCGGCCATGTCCTTCACCATCACTGAGAGCTTGTAACGGCCGCACATCTCTGGGTCCAGAGTGGAGGCTCCTGGAGGTCACAGTTGGATGAATACAATACAGGAACTCTTTATTTCAAAATAATTTTAATTTCAGAATTTAGCTCTTTTACAAATACATTTGTATTTGATGCAAGGGAAAATAACACATTTCAAGAAACACTCATAATATATACAAACACAAATAACTACACATAATTGAAAACATGAAACCCGTCACTCGCTACCTTTCTGAGCCACCTGTGTGCTATTTTTATCACTTCATTTCCACTGATTGCTTAGATGGAGACATATAATATAAACACCCACTGCAAGGGCAATTTTAACCGTTAGTTACAGCTCACCTAAAAAAGAAAATCAGGTAGGTAATTTGCAATTTTTGCTGCTGCTGAGACACTTTGTGGAAACCAGCAGAGATGTCGTCCGGAAGCGAGGGACCAGTGAGCGTGAAAGTCGTCCGGCTCCCGCCAGGCCGTGACAGAGGGTGAAACCAGAGGTTCAGGAATAGCAGCAGTACACACAGTACTTTACTGCATCTTCAGTATATCTGTGTGTATGTGTGTGTTCTGTATGTTTATGTGATTAAATTAACTATTATTGGCCAATACAGTCTTGACATCATGTTGTGTCTCATCACAAGATTCTATTTGTATCATATTTCGTATGTAAAACATAGTAAGAATGTAATTTCGTTTAGTTTCCCTTCAGGACTTTATTCACGTCTGTTTTAAATGCAACATCCATTCTGTGCAGTAACAAAGCCACTCTTCTATTTGTATTAGTCCTATTTGTTGGTTTGTGTCTTTTGTCAGATTTAAACCATTCAGATTTTTTTTTTATAAATGTTCACTGTTTTTCAGAAGCACCTCTACTTGTTTCTTTTGTACATGCAGGAATGGCTCTATTCTCTACACACATTAAATTAGTTACTTAAAGAAATGTGACCAGTGTAAATACTGAGCTACATTACTGACATTGCTGCACAACAACATCTTGTTAATCATTGGTCGATATTAATAAATTCAAATTGCTAATTGGCTGCTTTTTTTATTTTTTGGCGAGGTTAGTAATTAGCCAACTACGAGACTGAAAGTTGGAGGGAGCTCCCTTCTGTCACTATTTGGGACTGACCTTCGTCAGTGAGGGAGACCTCTCCAGTGATGGAGCCGATGGAGAACATTTGGCTGGAGGGAATCCTGGGCGTCTGCTCCATGAGGCTGAACCGCAGGTCGGCATGAGCAGTGTCGAGGTCGTCTCGATCCAGCGCCTCCACCTGCATGAATGGGATCCCTGAGGGACAGCAGTGGTGCAAAGTCAGAAATGTCCTATCTGAGCCAATGTAGTTGCTGAGCCCTGTAGCAGTTTGCAGAAAAGTCTTAGAGTGATTGGAATGGAGCTGTTCTGTGTTGCCACATCATTGATTCTATTAATATTGAGTTTAACATTCAATTTTAAGAGACTGACACAGATTGAGTCAGACTGACACATCAGAACTCAAGGTTCTCGTACCTTTGAGTAGGCCGAGCTGGACGCTGCCTCTCATGCTCTCCTCGAGGAAAGTGGGCACGTTGTCGTTCTTGTCGATGACACACACTTCGACAGTGAAGCTCTGTCTGTGCACTGAGGCCCTGAAGGACAACTGCTCACACAAACACAGAGCATCTTTAAATAGCACCCTCTGGAACATGTGAACAGCCTTCACACATGAACCTCACAACAATCAAAAGAGTAATTCATTCCTCAGACTGCCCTTTGTGAAAAACACAGCAGGAGATCGTCATATGTGTTCACAACAAGAAACATTTGCATGGGGAAGAGTTTACATCTGTTGCCTGTGAGAAAGTTAATGAACACACCCATTCCCTTTATGTGGACATTCTCCTGCTGTGTTCTCAAATGGCCTCACTCTGATATTTTGGGGAAATAAACTATGGAGTGTCAGTAGTACAAGCTCTGGAAAATATCCTCAGCGACTGACTCAGATATTTACAAAATGTTCAGACTTCAGAGCTTGTCTGAAAACAGCTCTACTCACGAACCATAGAAAATGACCACCACTAGTGACACCATGTGATGTGCTACCTGCAGAGAGTAAGACGGCTGTTTCTCCCTGTCCAGTGGTTTCAGAGCATAAAGAAACTGAGCGTCAACACCGAATATCCCCTCATCGTCCCCGGTTACCACCAGGTCGCTGTAATTACTGGGCAGGCTGTGGAGCTGTAATGAAGAGAGGAACATTCATTAAACAGTTTGTGCCCCAGTTAAAACTGAGTCACTTGTATCATAATGTGCACTAATCACCATTAACACGGCCACTTTCATGCATATGCTGTCCTGCTGCTTTAAAAAGTCATTAGTACATTAAATGTGTATTAATCACCTGCTGAGAATAGTGCCCAACTTATTGTTGTACAGCTAAACCTACAATCCCCAGCTGTTTAGGGAAATGCTAAGCTGTTTAAACTGAGTAACTGTGACCCACTTGTAATGGTTCATGTCTTCAGGATGAATTAACAGGGTTGAGAGGGAATCAGGATTAAAAGATGAGCCAACACATTGTTGGTTTTAGTCTTTTCAATGGTTTTATGGACAATAAGAGAAATATAAAACAATTTAAAATGTATCCTTTAAATGTCTTTTAGTGATTTAATTGTCCAATAGCTTTGTAATACTTTGCAGCAATGCTCGGACTAGATAAACAGGAATAAGGTTTAGATGTTCTGATTTCTCTAAATGAGGTGTAGACTTTCTCTTGAATAACAAATATCTCAACAAAGGCAAACAGTCCCCTTGTGAAAAATATAGATCACTAGATTCATATTTTAATTTGGATCTGCACCAAATTGCACACATTCGTAAATATCAGTTTGATATTTTCACTATTTCTATTATCTGGATCCGCCCTCCTATTCTGGATCTGCAGTGAAATTACATGGGTTCTTCTTTGGGTCGTACCGTCGTACCTCACCTTTCCACATAATTCAATGGAAAAGCGTTTGAGTAGTTCTTGTGTAATCCTGCTAACTAACAAACAAACACACAGACGGAAACATTCTCCTTAGCGGAGGTAAATATAAATATCACAGGACCCAAACATTTACATTTATACACAATTCTGTGTAAGGATGAGTCATTCACAGCAGCCTGCAAGTAAATCTCTCACTGTGCTTTTGCACTTTGGAAGGTTTAATAATGTAATAATTTAAAGTTCAAATAGAGGAAATGACGAGTGAAGCGCTGACAAGTGAACACACACCAGCATGAGCAGCTTTTACCTGGAACCAATCTGCAGCAATTATTGCGTCCTTTCCATTTATAACTCAGGAGGTGGATCATTATCCCACTCCTCCATTCTGGCCATTAACGTGCTGTTTGAAGTGCGTTAATGACATCAGTCAAACACAAAGACTGAAAATATGACTGGGTTTTATAGAAAATGGGATGACTTCTAAACTCAACTAATTAAAGTGCAGATATTCTTGCTGTTGCAAAATCCATTTAGGCTGCCTGAGTGACACGAGCGAACAAAAACGCCCCGTCTGCCGTGTGCCTGCATGCAGACGCTGAGTCTGACGCCCGAGAAACATTGTGAACACTCCAATTATAGTCTGGAAATGACGGCAGCATGTTCGTACATCTCCAACCTTGAGGGCTGGGCATAAAAAAAAATTCAAATCTGGTTCACTATTCACCTACATTTTCTATACAGAGACATGATGCTCTTGGCTCAAAAGGCTGTAAAGAGGTTTTCATTTGCCTGATTTAATCTAAACATCTCATCATGTGGAGTTTTACACTGTAATGTAACCTGCATCTTAATTTAGTATTTAACTAATAGAACATCTACAGGGACACTCACAGATACCTCAGCTAAGGCTCAATAGTCCTCTTACACATCTATATTGAAATTCCCACATTTTTTATTTAGATTTGCACCAAATTGCACACACCCATCAATATCAGACCCTTAAACATGTCTGATTAACGTCTATCCAATTGTTCTCTTGAGAAAATAAGGAAATTAATAGAAATGTGTAAAAACACCTTATCTCCCAAAGTAAGAGTAAGAAATAATTCCTGGCACTGCCCCTTTATCTGGATCTGCACCAAAATGTAATTGCTTATTCTCTGACCCTCATCCTTCCACCAAGTTTTGTAACAATCCCTCCACTAGTTTTGTGGTAATCCTGCTAAATAACAGACAGACAAATACACAAACTCCTTGATAAATCTCAACATTATGTGCTTTTAGTGATTAGGCATTAGCTATAGGTTCTAATCTCCCCTGGTTTTAGATGGAAAAGATTTAAATCGAACTCATAAGGATTGTATATTTGATATTTTGACAAAAACATTTGTATGGTCAATTCAAGTAATTTGAAATATCTTACCTTGGCTAGATACCATGGGAAAATACCATCGTAGTTTTCAGGGACACCGATTTTAACGTTTGCCCCAGAACAGGGTGCTAAAGTGTAAAGTATCACCAGCTGTGAAACGAGATAACATGTTGCTCAGTGATGTTGTTCATGCAGTAACATGCTCTTGTAAATGAAAGAATGACAGATTAAAGTCTGTTTTTGAATGGCAACATCTTACTATGAGAGCTAGGATCAGCACTGGTGTGGCTCCTGTGTTCGCCATGAGTCTCTGTGAATGTGGCATATTCACAGCATTTCAAACCACATGGTCTCAAACCAACACACAACACAATTTCTGCCTTGTTACTGATTCACTACCGATGGAATTCTTTCATACGCAAAGATTTCACAGTTTTTAACATCCACTGCAGTCAGATTTTAATGCATAACCACTTTAAAAAAAGGTTAACTCAACAATTGCACCCCCGCTGCAGTCAGCAGCACAGGAGATAATAACAAAGCCGATGGTTAGTAAGTAAAACAGATAATTGTGTCAAACATATTTTAGATACTAACTGTTTCTCCAAGCACAATGACACAAATCACAATAACGGTAACAGTAATGCTCTATATTCTTCATTAACTTCATCTGAAAGCACAAAACTACATCAACAAACTTAACATACACTGTAGCTCAACAACAGCAGAGGATGACACTGATAAAAACAGCAGGAAAATACTTTCAAAAATGTTCTTCTATTTCAGACAAAAGGTTAAGTTTCTTACCGTCTCCAAATGATGTGTGTGTTCCCTGTGAGAGGTGTGAGGGGACTTTAAATTGGATGGAAAACTTGCCTACTTTTACTCCTGTGGTGGTTTAATGGTTAACGCCTTCAGATACACATGCTTAACTACCATGTTTCCTTCCTGCAAAACCAACGGCCAGTCAGGTTTCACTCTTTCATTCCACTGATACAATCAAATGAATATTTATAAGGCCGTAAATCGCCTGAAACGGCTTTTCCTGTGTTTTATTCGGCAGAACATGTTGCTTCAGGAAATAAAGGCAGAGAAGATTGAAGGGTTTTGTTTTCATGTTTTATTGAAAAAAAGGAAATCAACGTAAACAAAGAATTTCCAAATGATGTCAAATTTCACAAGACGGATATAACTTATTGCTTTACTCATACATTCACAACCTGAACTCGATGTTATGGAACAACACAGAATCACAGAGGTTTTCTCTCGTCTTTGACATCTCTTTAGTAACTTGGCCGAGGCACGAACCTGCATACCACGTTTCAAGTAAATACAACCCCAGATGACCTAGTACAGTGATCCTCCACCGTGTTTTTTTAGAGATAATGAGATGTGTTACATTCAGCGTCATTCATAAACGTATATACACCAATTCCCCTCCAATAAAGGAGCACAACAACAACAACAACCCAACAACAAGGCAATCTTTTCAAGTCATTAGAAAAAAAACAAGCCTTTGTGGATTTTTCTGACTGATCATTTTATGACAGCAATATGATATAAGGCAGATAAAAACAAAAGAACATAAAAGTTTGCAAAGCTTCATGCAGGCTATCACCATTATCATGATATGACTTGAATAATGTCAGTTATGTTTTATTATTCAAGTCCTCTCTTTGCCTTCGATTGGTGTCTAAAAAAAATAAAAATATATTTCTGTACATCTCTATTAGTCCTTTAGGGTTAGTGTTAAAACACACACAGCGTCTGGTCTTCAGAGGCCAAAGAAAAGAAGTGTCCATCTGTCCCACGTGTTCCTCAGAGAACCGTGAGGTCGTGGCAGGACTTTGACTTCTGCCTGAAAGCCATCTTCTTGTTCTTGCGCGCGACCATGCGGCCCAGAAACCGCTTGGCCTTCTTGCCGATGCTCTCCCTGCGTCTGCAGTTGGCCATGCGCCGTGCGTTCTCCTCCTTGCTGTCTTTCCTCAAGCGGATCTGTCGGACGATGCCCTCGAAAAGGTCCCGCACGTTGTGGTGGAGGGATGCGGACGTCTCAATGAACTTGCAGTCGAACACCACTGCACAGGCACTTCCCTCTGCGATACAGAAAACATGGAGAATGGGGAATTAAAACTCTGATGGTGTAGATTTTAGAAAACATTCAAAAACAGATCATTTAGATAATCCTAAAGTGCATAAGTAAGCCTTCAGGATAATAGTTTGGAATCTGTGACACAGTTTGGAGTCGTATATATGTGGGCCTGTGCTGAGCCTGAGCAGTCAAGTGGGAAATGAGGCCTGAACCCATGAAGGATGGTCAAGCCCCAGTAGTTCTTTCAGATTAGAGCATAAACAGCCTAAAGACAGTTTTTATGCTTTAAATGATAAATATTAGATTATTTAAACTCACTAAAATCTCATTCCCCTGACCTAAAAATGTCTATCCACACCACTGGTGCAGAGGCTTTAGGCTCAACAGTGAGTTAATTATACTGACTTACCATCTACAGACACCTCTCTGGACCGCACCAGGTCGCTCTTGTTGCCCACAAGGATTATGGGAATGTTCTCTGACTGCCTGGCCCGACGCAGCTGAATCCGCAGCTCTGACGCCTTCTCGAAGCTCGACTTGTCTGTCACTGAATACACGATGATGTAGGCATCTCCCATCCTCATGCACTGCTCCTTCAGCCACTGGCTGTTATCCTTCAGGAAACAAACAGATGCTCAGTTGAGCATTATTCACGTCTGATACAACCCTGTGGTCTAATATCTATGGAGTCAATGATGGATAAACATTACATAAATTATGTATAACTCACCTGTTCCCAGATGTCGTACAACACAATGGATGCCTCCTCTTCATCCACATCGATAGATCTGTCATAAGTGTTTCCTGAGGGGGAAAAATTAATATTATATTACACATCGGCGCAGAAGCTTATCTGAACAGTCGTGTTTATCGCCAATGTGTGTTTTTGCTTTTCTTCAAACTGATTTTAGCCCATTTTTCTTTTGTAGTCTGCACAGTGAAGCATTGAGCTGATCACAGCCTGTGATCAAACCATCCTTTTATATTTTCCCTTCACACTATGCTACTGGATGTTTCTGACAGCTGTACGACTGAGGACTGAACTGGTGCCTAGCTGTAGATGGAAATAGTAATAATCAATGCAAGTGTAAAATAAGAAGCCTGTCTTTTTTCTATTAAATCAGCTCCACTTCCCTCATAAATAAAAAATGTCTGTATAGAAAATGATATGTGCTTTTAAATGTGTTTGTGTCCTTGATTGGTGTTTATTTAAATGTTGAATTGTTTGTAAAAGAAGAACGTGGTCTTTAAACTCAAAAAGCAAAGACATAAAGCCGTATATGTGAGTATGACTTATGAGTATAAGGTGATATATTGCTCATTATGATGTGTTCTAAATTGACCTTGGACAGACCTAATTATCACACGTGACTAAACAGACAAAGCACATCTTGAGTACATCTGTGTGCGTGGGTTTCAAGGGTAGATGAGTCATCCCCCAGCATCACCATTTACCTGCTTCATCGCAGTCGTGACCGGGATCCTCGACTCCCCCAAAGACGCGCGCCAGGCTGGACTTGCCGACGCCGTGCTCTCCGAGGAGGACCACCTTGTACACCTGGGACTCCGCCTCGCTGCCGGTGGAGATCACGGAGTCGGAGGAGTCCGAGGCGCAGCTGCCCCGGTGCTGCTCGGTCGGGGAGTAGGACGTGCAGCGCAGGAGGTTGGACAGCTCGTCGGTTTGCCCGGTCTGTGGCATCGTGGCGTGCAGGTCCCGGTCGTCCACAGGCATGCTCCTCCGGTGGAGGTTGGGCAGATTCATGGGGAAGGGCATGCTTCCTCTCCTCTTGTCCATGTTCCGCAATTTGTCACCCTTGTTCAAAGTCATTGTGCGTATATGGCGTGGATCTGTGGACACATGCGCCGTGCGTAAAATTGGGGATCTTAATCTCATAGTCGACCTGACCACACGTGTTCTACTCTACTTAATATAATAAAAACGCCCAAAAACTAACAGTTCAAATGTCTCGTCAGTATTGAAGACACTTACCCGGTGCTGGCAAATAAATCAAAGAAGGCAATCCTATAATCCTCGGTTTGATGAGTTATTGTGATCGGTGAGGCGTTTTTTGCTCGAGTCTGATGAGAGTTGCTGCTCAGTGTATTTATACAGGACCGGGAGTGACGTCGGCAGGGATTCGCCCCTGAGAATCACGTCTCCGCTTATTATAGTGGTGCGTAACGGTGCCATCATACAGAGGAGGGAGGGAGGATGACTGAGAGCGCAGAGGAATCTCCCTTCCGCATCTCCAAATGGAGCTGTCTTGTGAGGGGGCGGCCAGGGATGAAACCTTGAAGAGGGGAAGCCCACTTAAAGCCAGAGAGATAGGGTATAAATATTTAATAATAATATAGAGGATAAGACGGTGGAAGGATATCCTCATGATGCAAGTTGAAGTGTATTAGGGCGCAGATGAGTGGAAATATGACCCCCTGTCTTGCTTAAATCAGATTTGAGTCTCGTGGTCACTGTCATGATCTTTGCTTCACTTATTCCATTTTAGTGTTGGGGGGGGGTTGAGTTTTGAGTTATCTAATTTCATTTTGACATGATTGATTTGGATTTCTGTGACAGCTTAGCCCTGCTCTCTACCTCTTATGATGCTCTTTTTAAACCAGTGCAGAATCATTCCATTATTTGAATGGATGTATTTTATGAATGATAGTTAATTTGAATGCACTGAACTTGAGGAGCACTGTTCATCTCATTGTGTACAATAACAATAAAGCTCTCTATTTCTATGCTATTCTCTAAACTGTCATACATTTTCTATCATATGTGCAAAAAAAAAGAAACATAAACTCATAAACATTCTACACACGGTGGGATTTATTTATCATTCATCCCTCATTCTTCCTCCCTCCACCTCACTGTCTGAAAAGTGAAGGCATGGCTGAAATATAATGTCCTTGCATTTGCATCTATAATCATTGATCGACCTCAAACACACTGGTGTGGTTCTCCTGATCCATGCCTGAGATGAATGATACAAAAATGCTATAAGATATCTGCTCTATATCAATGACTGTAAATACAGACTTGTCTATATAAAGGAAAAAAATGTGAATCTCATGCCCCAATGCAGCTCATGACTCCAGATCACTTTTCTGTTTTTGCTTCTGCATGTGTAACCGTTTCATTGTTCATTGTATTTGACGAATATTGGACACAGAGAGGCTACAGTGAGGCAATGTGTGCTTTCCAGCATGTACCACAGACTCAGGATTGTGTGTTGCTGCCCCCTTGTGACTTTACTTCTTACATGCACAATTGAACATTTAGAAATCCTTGCATTGGTGTGTTTGCAAACACGTGTCAAGTTTTCATAATATGGTTATTAAGGTTCTTAATATAGCTTCCACAGTAAATATCTGGGTCTCTGCATGAAGTCTAATTCATCTGCAGTTTTTCATGTTGTTTATTAAAATATTGTCTCTTTGCAGGGGTTTTGCCTAATTTCATTAACTCATAAAGTCACTGCTATAGATTTGCTGGTTGATAGGACCAATATGTAATTTATCACCATATGTATATCAGAATGTTTTTGATGGACTTTCAG